TCCTGGAAGACAGAGACAACGGTTAGAATCCAGGTTGGATTCAAAGTAACAGAGATTCACTGAGAGTCTAGGCTTAGGCGCTGACCAACTGGATCAACACTGCGGCGTTGAGGCAAGGTCTGAAGACAGCTTATATAGTGGATCCTCTGATGATCTGATGGGCTGCAGCTGTGCAGGAGGCTCACTCAGAAGGATCCACGGCAGACTCTGCTGAAGAAAGGTGGAACTTCTCCAGCTCCCAACAAATATGATTAGCATTAGCTTGTAGCTTCCATCATTGAAAACTGTTAAACATTACAAAACTATCAATCATATGCAACATGGACTAAACATGGCGTATCTAGTCCCAAAACATAATATTTATGTCACTCTGATCATGTTAAACTTACGTTTTGTCATCTACGCACACAACTTCAACTGCACCTGTTTATCGGCTCCGTCTTCAACTAAAAGTGCTGCACAGTTCTGAACAACAGGCGCACTTACCATTTTTCACCACTAGATGTCTCCCAACACCTTACTACAGATAAGTGTCTCTGAATATTATACTGCCTTTCCAGCAGTTATTTATATTTTTTATTTAAAAAGTCAATGTATAACATTTTATTTCAGTGTTAAATTCTGTTCTGTTCTGTTCCTGCACCTTCTTTTCAAACTAAAACAGGTTTGTCACAGCAATGTGAACCAGTAAATTGTCAATATACCAAACTGAACAATTGTTGTCCTCTACTTCAAATAACTCTTTAGATTTTAAAAATGGAAAAATATTCTCTCTATTTTTTTTTGTTATTTATATTTTTTATTTAAAAAGTCAATGTATAACATGGATGCATGAACACCACATTTTATTTCAGTGGTAAATTCTGTTCAAAGTAACAGATTATAAATAAAAATGTCTCTGGACCTTTACTGGTTGATGATTTTCTTTATTTGGACCCTGCTGATGTTTAATTGGTTACCCCTGGTTTAGAGGGCGGAGTCAGAAAGCAGATATAACAGTAAGGAATGGTCTGAGCTCCTTCATTGTGAAGCATCAGAAGAGATCAGCATCCTTCTACAGCAGACATGGCCAGCAAAATGCCTCGTGAGTACAAGTCTACCTGGTTAATTAAAAAAAATGCTAGAGACAGAAAAGCTCTGCACCTGAAACATTTGTATCTCGTTAGTAACTGTGAAATATTGTATATCTGTAACTTGGTGCCTCAACACAAGAGGGTTCAGTTTAGAGAGCACAGACTCTCTGTTTACTCTAACTGCTGCAAGCAGACTCAATGCAACCAGGAAGGAACTCCTGGCAGAACATTTCTAAGCCTCCCTCTCTATAGACATTACATACGTAGAACCGACATGCCTAGAGGGCGGACACCTTGGATCAGACACAGTTCAGACAGCTGCTGTCAGAATTTTAAAATTACGTTTTAGTTAGATTACACATATTTATTCAGATTAAAAACTATTGAAACTGAACTCAAACTGGATGAGATGTATGCAAAGTGATACTTTGGTCGATCCAAGATAGCAACCTCCTAGGCACGTCTGCCAGCCCAATGAGGCGTCTACTTATCTAAAGTCTATGTTCCACTCTTTCTGACTTTTCCCTTCAGCCAGGAAATAAAGACTGTTGAAAGGCAGGTGAAAAAAGATATTTAAGCTCAGTTCATCACACAGAGGAAAGCAGCTTTCAATTCCACCTTAAGCAATAAGTAAACTGGTAAAAACAATCAGTGTGTGGAATAGATCTCCCTCTGTGCTCGGTGTGGTNCAGGTTCCTGGTGTGTATATGCATGCGTCAGATAATGAGCTCAAGCCTACATTACAGTGTTAACATGCTTTTCACTCCTTCCTGCACCTTCTTTTCAAACTAAAACAGGTTTGTCACAGCAATGTGAACCAGTAAATTGTCAATATACCAAACTGAACAATTGTTTTTCTCTACTTCAAATAACTTTAGATTTTAAAAATAGAAACATATTTATTTATATTTTTTTATTTAAAAAGTCAATGTATAACACGGATGCATGAATACCTCATTTTATTTCAGTGTTAAACTCTGTTCAAAGTAACAGATTATAATTATAAATGTCTCTGGACCTTTACTGGTTGATGATTTTCTTTATTCGGACCCCGCTGATTTTTAATTGGTTACCCCCGGTTTAGAGGGAGGAGTCAGAAAGCAGATATAACAGTAAGGAAGCGTCTGAGCTCCTTCATTGTGAAGCATCAGAAGAGATCAGCATCCTTCGACAGAAGACATGGCCAGCACAATGCCTCGTGAGTACAAGTCTATCTACCAGCCTTAGTCACTATGCCTATGGTTAATTTAAAAAATGCTAGAGACAGAAAAGCTCTGCACCTGAAATATTTGTATCTCGTTAGTAACTGTGAAATATTGTACATCTGTAACTTGGTGCCTCAACCCAAGAGTTGCAGGGTTCAGTTTAGAGAGGACAGACTCTCTGTTTACTCTAACTGCTGCAAGCAGACTCAATGCAACCAGGAAGGAGCTCCTGGCAGAACATTTCTAAGCCTCCCTCTCTATAGACATTACATACGTAGAACCGACATGCCTAGAGGGCAGCCACCTTGGATCAGACACAGTTCAGACAGCTGCTGTCAGAATGAATAGGAGACGCCTCAGATCTCATTTTAATCACAAGAAAGATGAGTCAGAGATAATATTACAATACGGCTGAAATTGTAATATAATAATAAAAAGACCAAAACAAATTTTAAAATTACCTTTCAGTTAGATTACACATATTCAGATTAAAAACTATTGAAACTGAACTCAAACTAGATTAGATGTAAGCAAAGTTATACAATTTGCAGCTAATATTAATATGATATTTTGGTCAATCCAAGATAACAACCTCCTAGGCACGTCTGCCGGTCCAATGAGGCGTCTACTTATATAATGTCTATGTTCCACTCTTTCTGACTTTTCCCTTCAGCCAGGAAATAAAGACTGTAGACAGGAAGGTGAAAAAAGATGGTTAAGCTCAGTTCATCACACAGAGGAAAGCAGCTTTCAATTCCACCTTAAGCAATANGATGAGTTCAGCTCAAATTATTGAAATTACATCAAACATTTGTGAAAAGAAGGTGAAACCATATAAATGAGCACAAGCCAAGTTTGCAGAATTCAGCCCCTCCATTAATAAGTGACAGAACAGGGCGTAACACACCGATCAAACTTAAAATCCATAAACTTTTACTATTCAACCAGATCAGACACTAAATCATTTCATTCTATTTACGACTTCTCATTTAGTGTTAAACTGGATACTGGAGGGTCGGTGTACATTCAGGCAATTAGTTTGTTTTTTTCTTCAAAACCAAAAATGGATTCTACTTTGGTTTGTCGTTTTTTCCATTTACAAATCAAAAACGGAAAAACAGAAAACAAAGCAGAAAAAAACAGCACGTTTTTGGATTTTCGCCACTTCCATCGAGCGTTTTCTTTTTCAGAGATAAAAAGCGTAGATAAAGGCCTAACATAATGCAAGCCTGAAAAAAAAATAATGAAGCGCAAAGATGTATTTGAAATAAAAAGAGGACTTTTTATTTTACAACATGATAGTTTATTATAGAGACGTGAGCTTTATTACATTATTGTGTGTTTTATTGTTGGGGGGGTAATGTCTGGGCAGGATGGAGGTTGAGATGAAAACCTGTTGCTGTTAAATGTGACAACAAAGATTATGTTTAAAATATCTAGAATAGCTTGACTGTGGGGAAATCACGATTGTTAAGATCAGAGAATGTCTTTTCTCATTCACCCCATAGTGAAGGTTTACACATGCAACTTACAGATTACCTTCTTTTTAATCAGCTAAATTAATAAAATGTGTTTGTTTTTTTTAAGCAACAAAATCCCTACTAGTATAACGTCATGAAAAAAATATTAATCCGGCTGTTTACAGGCTTATCTGCTAAAAAAAAACGACCCACAAAAATGTTTCTGTGCTGAGGATATTCTGTAGGGGCTTTTCTGGACAATCAGCTCAGCAGTTCTGGTAGAGGATCCTCAGCACAGAACCAGCTTTCTGGATCAGTTTGTTCAGCAAATGAGCAAAGAATTGCACTTTCTAAAACAGACTTAGAAAAGATAGACATTGCAGCTTATCTAGCTATAGGTTAGATTGGATCTCAGTTTCCTTATGAATAAGAACCTCAACCTATAGCCTATTCAATAAGGGCCATTCTAACTCTTGTTTAGTAAAAATGTAATCAAAACTTTCCATGGAGGAGAGAGGAAGCACTGAGGAACTCCCATCAAGGCCATTATAGATGCTACAAACTAGATGCTTTTCTAGCTCTAACAGGAAGAGTGTAACTTTTTCATTAGCCTTTTATCTCTTGTATGACAAATGGGAAATATATGAGGCGCTCTATCCCAGTGGCAGTATTTGTTTTTGGTGTGGGTGAAGATAAAACAATTAAATCAATAAAACAATCTTTGTTTCTCTGTTAGCTTGAACATATTTTAGATATTTTAGACATAATCTTTGTTGTCACAATAAACAGCAACAGGTTTTCATCTCAACCTCCATCCTGCCCAGACATTACCCCCCAACAATGAAACACACAATAATGTAATAAAGCTGACATCTCTACAATAAAATATCATGTCGTAACATAAAAAAAATTCTCTTTTTATTTAAAAGACATCTCTGTGCTTCATTATTTTTTCTTCAGGCTTGCATTATGTTACACGTATAACTTTTTTTATTAAACATTTTGAACAAAAGTATAAAATCACGTGGTCTGTAAATACATGAAGTCAAGTCTTACAGGCTTAAGGCACACATACGGTCATAAGGCAAAAATAAAACAGAACGACACAAACAAAAATAAATAAATAAAATAAAAAGACAAGGGGGCATTATGTTAGGCATTTATCTAGGCATCAACTTTAATGTTTAAGTCTGTAATTTTTGTCTTTCAGGGCTGGCAAAATAATAAATAAATCCAAAAACAGT